AATAGGCTCTGTTATGTGGCGTGCGTTCTCGCGGCGGGGGGCCCGCCGGGGGCGGGGGGGGGGGAGGGGGGGGGGGGGGAGGGGGCCGTATAAGGTACGCTGTTATGTGCGTGCGTTGCTCGCGCGCGTATATAGGCTATCTGTTTTATGTGGCGTGCGTGCGTTCTCACGGCTGTAAGATATCTGATGTCGTGCGTGCTCGGCGCGCCAGTATATAGGTAGCCTGTTATCTGCGTGCGTTCTGCGCGGCATACAGTACCTGTTATATGCCGTCGTGCTCGCGCGCGTATATAGCTTCTATTATTGACGTTGCGTTCTCGCGTGCGTATAGGTACCTCTTCTGTGCGTGCGTGCTCGCGCGCGTATATAGCTATCTGTTATGTGCGTGCGTGCGTTCTCGCGGCGTATAGTACCTGTTATGTGCGTGCGTGCTCGCGGCGTACGCTATCTGTTATGTGCGTGCGTTCTCGCGGCCGTATAGGTACCTGTTATGTGCGTGCGTGCTCGCGCGCCGCATTTTTTTCATGTGATTACGGAAAACTTAATATATATTTGAGAAAGGGTTTGTGCAATAATCCCTCTTTGTAAACTGCTGACGAGTGGCGTGTAGGCTGCCATTTTATTAATGACGTGACTTTTGATAATCATGTGACTCGACACGCTGCGGTGATTGGCTGCCACTCACGATTTGTCGCCGACAGCCGCATAGAAATAGAACATGCTCTATTCCTGCGATCGCAGTCGGCGACCGTATTTTCGATCGCAAGAGAACTCATGTCGAGTTTGGTCGCCGATGTTTTTATCGGCGATCTGGCCGGTTTTTGACGTACGATATTCAAATCTTGTCGGCGACTAGGTCGTAAGGCCGACATAAGCGGGCCTTTATGTGTGTGCGTTCTCGCGGGCGCATAGGTACCTGTTATGCGCGTCCGTGCTCGCGGGCGTATAGTACCTGTTATGTGCGTGCGTGCTTGCGCGCGTATATAGCTTCTGTTATGTGCGTGCGTTCTCGCGGGCGTATAGGTACCTGTTATGTGCGCGCGTGCTCGCGCGCGTATATAGCTATCTGTTATGTGCGTGCGTGCGTTCTCGCGGGCGTATAGGTATCTGTTATGTGCGTGCGTGCTCGTGCGCGTATATAGCTATCTGTTATGTGCGTGCGTGCGTTCTCGCGGGCGTATAGGTATCTGTTATGTGCGTGCGTGCTCTCGCGCGTATATAGCTTCTGTTATGTGCGTGCGTTCTCGCGGGCGTATATAGCCTCTGTTATGCGCGTGCGTTCGCGCGGGCGTATAGATATTTGTTATGTGCGTGCGTGCTCGCGCCCATATATAGATATCTGTTATGTGCGTGCGTGCGTTCTCGCGGGCGTATAGGTATCTGTTATGTGCTTGCGTTCTCGCGGGCGTATATAGCTTCTGTTATGTGCGTGCGTGCTCGTGCGCGTATATAGCTGTCTGTTATGTGT